TCTTAGTAAGAGGTGATGTTAGCAGGGTACTAGATATAGTTCCCTGAGATTTATTTTAGAGGCGTGCTACTGAAAACTTTCCTTTGTATGAGAATAGTACCATCAGACACAAGCCACATACAAAGCATGTGCATAGATTTAAACCCTTTTTCCTTGGTCTGCTGTTCCTCTTTCAGTGATCCAGGCCAATGCACTAGAATTTTATTACTTACAAAACATAGCAAGGTTTGATAGAGACAGAGAGGATGCTCCTATTCCAGTAAGTTTATACAATTTTCTCATTTTCTTGTGCTAAATCCTAATGGGCAATGCAGGCAATGGAATGCTGAGCCTCTTAATTTTCATCATTGTTAAGATTAGAAAAGTAAACAGTGACTATGTAATTGCAGTATCTTGTTGTAGTAAAACCAGATCCTTAAATGACTAATCTCATCACCAAATAATAATAATAGAAAAATTTTTTGAAAGAATAAGTTTGTACCAGTCTGTCTCAGCATATCCCTCTCATTTAAAACTATGAGCACTACATGCACACAAATCAGGCAATGGGGAGTAAGGGAAGCTTGCAATCAGACCTAATGTCTTCCCTTCCTCTCAGCCCCCAGTACAGGACAGCCACTTCCTTTCTACAAACGCTTTGCTCAGATCTGTACGCAAGACAGGCCACATCTTCCGGGGAGGCTCAAAGTCTTTGCAGACACACAGTTGCCTTCAAAGCATCACTGGAAATCTGTGTGGGAAGACTCTAAAATATTAAAACCATCCTATACTCTTTTCTTCTAAGCCAACAACCAACCCCCTCTAAACTTATCTGTCACTTTGCTGCTCAGTTTATTCTGGGCTGCAGAATAAACTTTCTGACTACTGGAAAAGATACACAAATGCATAAGCTACACCACATGTGCAAAGGAAAACAAATAGAGAAAATATGTATGCCCCTTCCAGGAAGACAGTTCTTTTCCAGAATGTTAAAATTATGCTCAAGCATTTCCCCTATTACAAAAAGTAGGCAAAAAGAAGGCTGGTGTGAAAAAAATGCACATCCAAATGTAGTTTATCTGTCCTAAATCCAAACTGACTTACCTTTTAGATCAACAGTTCATTGCCATCTTGCCTGATTTTCTTCTTCCACAAGTGAACACTTGCCCTCTAGCAGATTCATAAGTCATTTAAGCCACTGCCTTCAGTTTTAAGAAATCCTCATCTGAAAGTTTGCTGCGGCGCTTGTAACCACAGCCCAGCAGCAAGCAGGACGCGATGCTGCTCCTCCTCATGCAGTGCTCGGGCAGCCAGCCCGTGCTTACTGACTACAGACCAGATTTTCATGTTTTCTGTTTCCCCATTTCTTCTACCCTGAAAGCTGGCCTGTGCAGCAGGATGACTTTTAGAGACGCATCCTTCATACCCTCTCCTTGCTGCCAGATGTCCTCTGCAGCCAGTTCATTGCTTTCATTTTGTATTTCACAATAGCTTAGAAATTTTAATAAAAATTCCCAGGCTACTACTCCTGAAAAAAAAAGTTATTATTCTTAAAGAAGGTGGAGAGGCCAAAAGAGCTGATCGCAGTTGAATTTTCTGAATTTCTCTAATTTGACATTTCTTTCTGACTGCCAAATCCAGACTGCTGACAATCCTTTATATATTTATCCCTTTGAAATATGGCCAAGCTGGGACAAGGTGTGGGGCAGTACAATAGTGATGCTATTCCCTGAAATACCTGACACATTTGTACTATCACACCTCACTGTGCAGAGAGAGGAGGGCACTAACAGACCTTCAGAGGCTCCTGATCAGTTTCTGTGGATGGATGCTCTGACCCTACAGATAATGATGAGGATGAAGCAATTAGCTTAAGTCTGGCAAGGTAGACAAACAGGTACCAGAAATTCAGTGTACTGGTTACTGAAAACAGGCAAGACACAGGGAAATATTTTTTCTGATTAATTTACATAAAAATAAATTTGACTTTTGTAGAGTTGATGTGATTTTGCAAGTCAGCACATCGAAGACATCTAAACAAAGGCCATCTGCATGTTTATAAACATGTACAAGTGTTTAAGGGACGCAATATGTTAAAAAAAAGTCAACAATAATGGTTAGTCTATGCTTCCAATTATATTCTTTCTTCAATTAGTCTTGAAGAAACTAACACCTCTATTAATCATTTCAATTAACTCCACGCACCACATGACATCCGCACCAGCAGCCCATATGTTGCGTTCCAATCACCCAAATATTAAAGCCTTTTTAATTGATTGATCTAAAGAACATTCAACAGGCTCAAGGTGGCAGCCAGCCAGGAAATCCCAAAAGAAGATGACAAAAAGGTGGGGGTGCTAAACCAGCTTCCCAATTTGTTTTTCCTCTTCCTCCAGGGTTCACTAAGTTAATCCAATCACAGCCCATAAAGCCCCTTTTTAATAAAATAAATAAATAGATAAGAGAACACACATGTTGGCTTTCCCCCAGAGAAGCCCCCTCTGCTAAAGCTGGAGAGCCATCCTGTTAAGAAAGTGCCGCATAGGAGGGTGCATTTTTTATCCAGCAGAAATATTTAGCTTGGCTGCCCGCCAGGGAATGCTGAAAGAATAGACTGAATTAGGGGATTTACCTTCCACGTGTTTGGCACGCGTCATTAGAGGCTCTGAAGAGCTTGACTCTTTCGCTCTCTCACTCTCTGTTTTTACTCCCCCCCCACCAGAGCTTTGATGCAGAGAATAAAGTATGAGCTATAAGAGTGGTTGATGTGTTGCAGTTCTAAATGTTGGCACGGTGGCTTTTGTGCTGTCGAAGAAAACCGATGCCCAGTTGTTTCTGAAGGTTTTAATTTTTTTTTAAATTCCAGTCAGGTATGGGGTGATGCATTTTTAAAGCATTTGCTTTAGTGCAGAAAAAAAAAGAGCAGGCTGTTTTTCTTTCTCTCTTTTCCTAACAACAACAAAAAGTTTTTGAAGTTTTCTGTAGACAGATTTAAACTTGGAGAAAGTGGCTTAAAAGTAAATTCCATAAGTGAAACTTCAACCACAGAGCATTTTAGGAGCTTGTTTGAAAGCTTAGTTTTGTAACAATAACTCATGAATTGCTCTGTCATTTGACTTTCATATGCTGTCACATGGACTTATGTTATTTTTAAAAACACTTCTTTACCTAAGTACTTTGGTCTTGCAAAAACCTATTAAGATCTATAACCAGAACATGTTAGTAGAGGTGGTTGGTCTCTACCCCAAGAAACTTGAGCACCTTCTCAGAACTTTTAATTTGTGAAAGGAAAGGCTATGTTTTAAGTTAGCCTCTGCCACCTTAACTTAGGGCAAGGAAAAAAAAAGAAAAGGAAAAAAACCCCCACAGGTTCCAGATGAATAAAAGCATGGAGGTCCTTAAAACAAGAGTAAATGCAAGTGTTTGTGGTGCCAGCCCTGTTTACAGAGCAGAGTCTTGCAGATCAACTCACAGTGCCACTAACACCCATTCACCGAGCTGGTGTGAGCACTGGAGGAGCCCTGCTGCAGCTGTACTGTTTCATCACAGTATCAGATAAGTGCAGGCCCTGTTCACTCACAGTTTTTATTGCTATCAATTAAAACAAATCAGTTTAGAAGCTGCTGGCTGACATGCTTACTCAAGTTAGATTCAAGCAGAGTTTCTGAACTACAGAACTGGCTGTATCTTTATCCCATCTTCACTTGCAAAAAAATCTGGGTCTGACTTCAGCTAATTCATGCCACCAGATGACAGCTCACATGAGAATTTTCATCTCTTTTTCAGTAAAACTAGTTCATTGGGCCTTGCATATCAGGAGATCCTGTGGGCTGCAGAAAAGCAACTTAAGGGATGGATTCTAGCCCTCAGATGGAAATACAAGATATTAACATCAGCATCAACATCCAACATCAGAAGGGTGCCGGGGACCATCTCCTTGCTGAAGGTAAAACACCTCAGCTGTAGCTTAAGGGCAGACCCACAGTTTATCACTTCTTAAGTAAATCATTCATAATTCATAGCCAGGTTGAAAACCACACAAATAATGAGCTCTCAGTATTACTCAGCGGAAAGTGAGAACTGAAGTTTTCCACCTAAACCCGTAAAGGCTGACAAGTTCAGACATGGTTTTGTGAGCTCCTTCCTGGACCCCACGTTTTTAATTCAATTTAAGGAAAGCTAGGCAGCCACTTCCCCCCTGTCTTTGAAGTAAAGATGTTAACATCCGTGCTAATAATACAAACTACCCCTTCTTTTATCAAAGGCTTCAGCAATCTCAAAGGCTTTCTTTTCATCACAAAGAAAAACTGCAAAGTAAAGCTGCCTAGTTCTGCTGCTAACAGGGCAGTTTTGGCTCTGTACACTGCATAGATGCCAGCCAGTGCCCAAAGCACTGCTTTATAAATTCATAGAATTGTTTCAATTACAAAAGACTCTTAAAATCATATAGACCTTAAAGATCATTCCAACCATGAGTCCAGCACTGCCAAGTCCACTGCTAAGCCATGTTTCTAAGTGCCCCAGCTACATGGTTTTTAAATACCTCCTCCTAGGATGATCGCTCCACCACTACTCTGGGCAGCCTGTTCACTGCTTGACAATCTTTTTCAGTGAAGAAATTTTTCCTAATATATCCAATCAAACTGCCCTTCATGCCAGAGGCTGTTTCCTCTTGTCATAGAGAACAACAAAGTCCTCACTGAGCCTCTTTTTCTCCAGGCTAAACCACTCCAGCTCCCTCAGCTCCTCCTCATAAGACTTTTGCTCCAGATCCTTCACCAGGTTTGCTGTCTATCTCTGGACTCTGGCACCTCAATGTCTTTCTTGTAGTGAGGGGCTCAGAGCTGGACACAGTGTTTGAGGTACAGCCTCACCAGTGCTTAGTACAGGGTCCTGGTCACTGGCCAGGCCCTGCTGACCACACTGTTGCTGATCCAAGCCAGGATGCCACTGGGTTTCTTGGCCACCTGGGCACAGGCTGGCACATGTTTAGTCACTGGCAACTGGCAACCTCAGGTCCTTTTCTGCTGGACAGCTTCTCAGACACTCTTCCCCCAGCCTGTAGTGCTACATGAGGTTCTTGTGAGCCAACTGGCATTTCACCTTGCTGGACCTCATACAATTGGCCTTGGTCCATTGACCCAGCCTATCCTGTCCAGATTACCCTGTAGAGCCTTCCTACCCTCCAGCAGATCAGCACTCCTGCCCAACTTGGTGTCTTCTGTGAACTCGCTGAGGGTGAATTTAAACTCCTCATTCAGGTAGTTGATAAAGACATTAAACAAAACTGGCCCCAGTACTGAACCCTGGGGAACACCACTGGTGACCAGCTGGATGTAACTCCATTCACCACCATTCTCTGGGCCTGGACATCCAGACAGGTTTTTACCCAGTGAGGAGTGACCCTGTCCAAGCCGTGAGCAGCCAGGAGATTGCTGTGGGAGACATTATCTTTACTTTACTGAAGTCCAGGTAGACAAGATCCAAAGCCTTTCCCTCATCCCCATAGCAGGTCATCTGGTCATAAGGAGACAAACAGCACCTGCCTTTCATAAATCCACACTAGCTGAGCCTGATCCCCTGGTTCTCTTTTATGTGTCAAGATGATCTGCTCCAAAACCTTTATGTTTCCAGTGGAGTCTCTTTGCTGCTAACTCAATCTCTGGATGACTGAAATGCAGAATTTGTGTACTGTACACTAGTAGCATTAGGAACTGCAACAGATAATTCCCCATCAGTTGTTTCCACCTTAGCAGAAAACAGAGCATGTACTCTGGCCTGACAGTCTCAATTGAGAAGATTCCTCTGTGGAAAGACTGCAAGTTTAATAAAAGGTAATAGTGCATGAGCCACTGAGAGTAGCTCAGTTGGTTAGAGCATGGTGCTAATAATGCCAAGGATATGGGTTTGATCCCTATATAGCCCATTAACTGAAGAGATGATCCGTGTGGGTCCCTTCCAATTCAGAATATTCTGTGAATTAAGATGTGCATGCTTCAGGCTCGCATTCCATGACAAAGTGCCACGGGGCAGCATGTGCTTCTCAGTAAGGGAAGGCTTCCCTGTGAGGGAAGGCAGGCAGTTTTCCCCACACCACTGGCATAGGGCTGCCTTCCTGTAAAACCCACTGACACAAAAGGTGCATTTCTGCAGTTCTGGCCCCCATCATGTATGATCCCAGGACTATGACTGGAAACTGCCTGCCTGCTTTACTTCTTTAGTAGATACAGTGAGGCCAAGTGTATTTCAGCGTTGTGATTGGTATTTTGAAACTTAGGTCAAATAACAGAGAGCATTGGCCTGACAATATCAGTTCAGTGGCAAATCGCTTGATGTATTTGTCACCATTAAAAAAAACTTGTGTTTAAACACAGTCTGCTTATCATATTTACAGAATAAAAAAATGACCTTTAAAGCGAAATAAAAGAGCTCTTTTTTCCTCCCCACATCTCCTCCCTCTGTGTTTTTAATTAAAACCATGAACCAACACATGTATCCATCCTTCCTTCTGTAATAGATTGGGATTCCACTCTCAAATACTATACAGATAAAATGAACATTTATATGTTAGTGATTCGCAGTGCAGTAAATTCTCCTTTCCAAACCTGCCGTCTTCATTAAAATCTTATTTGCCTTGTAATCTCCTTTGATCGCTAAAGTTATAAGAAGCCCCCTCCTCTTCTTTTGATACTATCAGTGTAGCTTTTGACCAGAGAGCGTGATGAATTAAATGTATGACAGATATGACAGGTGAGGAGTGCTTGGAGAGGGCTTAAACAGCAGGGATAAGACAAAGCCCCCATTTAAGAACAAAACCCCTACCCGATGGCTAGCCCGTTAATGACCAACCACTCTATTTGTCCTGGTGGATGAGGAGCAAGCTGATACTACAGACAAAGCTTTGTTAGCCATGGGGCTGTTCTTCAATCAGGCCACACAACCAACTAATTGAAATGCCCAGTTTTTCCCCCTCAGGATTTGATTTACAAGGCAGGGGGTTTGTAGGTATACTCTTTTCTTTTTCTTTTTTTTCCCCCCTTGTAATGTATTAATTCAGCCACCACAAGTTTACAGCTGTACTGAGTGGAATTACACCATATAAACCTAAAAAAATCTATCTGCAGGGATCCAGCTAAGCCCTGGAGAGAGACAAGTCCAGCAATACAAATCCAAGGAAATTTGGAAGTCAATCCATTAGGATTACCAAGCCTTTGATTTTGGAAGTCACAGGCTCAAAATATGGAACTGATGAACCCTATCTCCCTTCATTTTTGCCTCTTTTCAGAGGACTTACTGACCCAATTTTTTTTTTCTGTTAAAACACATTCATAAATGTGAGCAGAATTATATTGGGTTTCCACTATATTTTAAATGAAGGAAGACAGGAAAATATGTGCTTTCCTGAAGTTGTGGGTAACGTACCCTTTAAAATTTCATACTTATTTCTACAAATTTAAAACTGCCACAAGTGAAGTCATCACTCTTCTCATCAGCTAAAGGCCCCTGTCCCCCTCTTTAAGGTTCATGTTAACTTCCAGTGTGGTCTGCTGTACCTAAACGTGGAGCTTCAGGCAGCAGTAACTGTAAACCAGTGGCTGCTTCCCAGAGATGAAGAAATCTCTGTGCCCCCTGCAGACCAGGATTATATTCTCAATGGGCAGTCTCTCATTTTAGCCCACCAATCTGCAGTTAGCAGAAGGCCAGGAGTTTCCAGGGGTAGGTGCCAATGCAATATTCGCTGTTAAACCCAAATGATAAAGAAAAATTAGATTATAGGAATGTAGTAATGATCTGGTTATAGTGGAAAACACTACCTGAAGCAAGAAATTTCACTTTCAGAAGAAATTAATTTTTTATCTCTTTGCTCCTTCCTGTCCTGCCCTCACACCGTGCTGTGGTTGAATCATTCGTGCTGGTATCAGGAAACCTGGGTTCTGTTCTTAGCTCTTCCACAGGCCTACTATGTGGCTTCTGGCAAACCTCAGACCCTTTCCGTGCCTCAGTTTCCCTATATAAAAATGCAAATATTCCTACCTATTTCAGAAAAAGCGTGGTCCAGTGGTTTAAACCATAGAATCAAGATGTCTGAATTCTCAAACTGAATATGGTATCAATTTCTGTGGTCTTTGAAGCAACTACCCTTACTGACCCAAAGGGTCAGCTTCCCCTGGGAAATGCTGGATGGCCAAACCCCAGGCTTCCCAATAGAACAAATGTGCTGCTTTCTGAGTAAGTGGTGCTTCTGTCTGGATAAGAGCTCAGCCTCACCTCACAGTGAGACCACTTATGTGGAATGCAGAAGAAAAGGCAGTCCAAGCTACAGCCAGCAAATCTTTTGGGAGCTGCTCTCACTAGAAGGCCATGGTGACCTTCTCTCAGAATACTTCCCTGCAGACCACCCAGCAGAGCTGGCCCGACTCTGGCTCAGCCATTACAGTCCCAGTTCAGCATGTGGAGGCGTAAGGCTAAAGTTCCAAAACTTCACCATGCACGACAAAGGGCTGAAATGATAGCAGTCCCCTTCCCCAGGGAGCACTCTAGAACTTTTGGCCATTTTGCAGTAAACCACTGTCTCTCACGCCCTCTTGTCCTCCATTTTTCCTCCATGAAAAACCTCCTCAAAGTTTTGAGTCCATTCAACTCAGAATAAGTAGCAATTTGAAAACTTTTGGAGGGCAGAAAAAGCACTTCCTGTCTGGCTGTATCTCATGGTTCTCTGACTTATTGGACACTTGCAAAGGTTAATTAAATAATGTTTAGATATTCATGATACATAAAGCTCCAGACAAAATGGTGTTAACATTATGATGCATAAAAGAGTCATTCAAAGAGAACAACCTTATAAAAATAAAGAGGGGAATATTGTTAACCTCACAGAAATACACACTTTTTCACTATGGACTCCAATAAAAATAGGCAAAGTTGTTGCCAGGATTGTCACTAACATTGTACTGAAAAAACCCACACTGAATTTTAGGAAAAGAGATAGGGATTTAGATCAGTAAATAAAGGAGAAGGGGGGTGCGGGAATAAAAAAACCTCCCGTCTGGTGTATTTTGTTTTTGAATGTGCAGATCTGAACGGAAGCTGCATTTTTTTCAGACAGCTTTCCAATCTCCCTATTAGATATAATGTTATCGTCTTATTACACATGTTGCCTACTAGATGTGCTCTGACTTTTATAGATGTCAACCCCATTTCTTAATTCAAGACATTTGTCTCTTGTGATCTCTGCGCCTCTGGGTTAGAGTTCCAGCCAAAGAGGTGAGCCAGCTTTGTATTTTCAATGCAGCCATAAAATCCTCTGGTGCTACATCCCTGAAAACTGCTGCTGCCCTGCAAAAAGGCCTGGATTTTGTCTGTCTGCAGCTCAGCACCCAGAAAGGACATTTTGCAGAAGGGCTCAGTGGACATTCAGGAAAACTGCTTTCAGGACCTTATCTGAAGGACAATACTTAACTTTCACCACCTGGGCCTGGCCCCTGAAAGGAAACAGTCACACTCAATTATTGTCTTTTTCTAGACAATTACTATTTAATCAAACCTCCAGCTGATATTAACTGGTGGAAAAAAGGCTATTTTTAGTCAGGACAGTGATTCCCCCTCACTCCTTTCATCTATGAGTAATGTATTTCCTTTTGCTCTCAGTACCACAAACCAGTCCACACCAGATGCTCAGTATTAGGTAAAATTAAAAATGTGGGCATCATACCCTTTGAAAGATGCTTTGAACTCAAATTAATATACCTAAACCCACTATTTAAATTAAAGATATCCTGTCTCTCTGCTGTGTAGTTTTCCCTTTTATCAGAAGTGGAATTTTAGTCCATTTAAAGGTTTTTTGGTTCAGCTCCACAGACCACGCTTTGACTTAACAACACATTGTAATTTCCTTTTAGCCACAAGAATAAAGGAAATGTATAGAAGCAACACCATAATCTTGTCAAGCACTCTCTTTCGTTTCCCTGAACAAGCCTGTTTGAGAAAATCTGAAGCCTAAGATTTTTAAGATGTTATCTGGAAGATGTTTAGATCATGGAACATTTTTATTGAAAACAGACGTATGTATTTTTATGCATCTAATGATGTACCCACACACATAAAATATATGCCTACTAAATTCTTTTATGGACAAGAGCAGAACAGTCTGAAACCTGAAGAGGTTTTTCAGACTTCAATCCTCTTGCCTCAGCATTTTACCTTTTCCAGACTTTTGCCCTGAATCTGCATGGACACTTGAGAAAACCCCACCAGGGAAGTAACAACCAGGGAGTGCCTGCATCCAGACCCACCTGTGAGCAGGGCTCTACAACTGCTATCAGAAGTAGAAACATGGGAGCAAAGTAAAATACATTGATTTCTCACATATCTTTGTGCATATATGTAAAACGG